ATACTGTTTGAAATGAGATGAAGTATTTGTACATAGGTGGGAGGTAACCACCTGTGAATCAGGTATGGTAAACAGGCTTTCTAGCAAACACGCCTTTACTTTTTGGACACCTTGGGCCAGGGAGAGCCGTGCTGAAGTATGACCCAGCAGCTTGTGAGTGTAACTTTGGTTGTGAGCGGCTGTGTTAAAGACGATGGGAGGGAGAGCTTGTTCTTACAGATAGATGGTCAACCTTCTCTCTGTTTGCTTCTCTTACAAACAGTGTGGGCGGCAGTCAAACTAAGAAGGCGGAGGCTTTATTGGAGCTAATCAGATTGCACTGCCTTCTAATCTGACACTCCAGGCCTCATGAACAGGGCCCTATGTGCAAAGCTTCAGAGCCGTGCTTTAACAATTCCCATGCACTCACTAAATGCTACAAAAAGCTAGAAATATTTGGAATTGTTGAATCTAAAGTGAACCCATTAGTGCATGAGGTGCTTTCGAGGCGCACTCAACCAGTCACGAGCCAGGGAGAGCTACAACAGAAAGAGGGATTATGCTTTCGTTTGTTGATATAATCACAGGCACATGCCTAGTCTTTCTAGAAATCTATGTAATGTGAGACGTCCCAGGCAAACAGTTATTAGAAGCAGAGTGATGATTAAAGATCTTAAAATTGATTCAGAGTAGGCACCAAACCAGAAATGACACTTAGAAAAGGACTAGAATAACAAATAGGTAGAATCCGTCCTCGTGTTTCATTTACAAACCGAAACAGACACTAGATAAGTGAACTTAGCATTCAGCTTACAGGGAACGGATCAGGAAGGAAAGATGAATGAGGCCGCAGAGTAAAAGCAGCTCATGCTTGTTATTTACTTGAGAACACTTTGATGAAGTTTTCTCACACTACTGGGGGAAGAATTACTTCCAAAAGTATTAATGTAATTAACGGTATTGTGAGAGTAGAGCACAAAGGTCAGAGGCTCCCTGCAGCTGCTGATGTTACAGATTCCACAGTTTGCTATGAATTCCCCACAGTTACTGAGACAAGGCTGACACAGGTTTGCTGACATGAACAAAAACAGCGGAAATTGATATTTTGTCAACTTTTATCGAATGTTGTGAGTCACTGCAACCTTTTTACCTTTGGGTTATTCAATATTGGATCCATACGGCATGATTTTGGTCGAGCACCTTAAACTAACAAACTGGGAAGTCACCTCAACTTTACAAAGTTTTAACGAGTGCGGCACAGAACATC